AATAGGCCGCCCCTTAACTTCCATTGTTGAGCCTCAGATTGTTGACATTCCTGAAAATAAACTTTCTAAATGGAAAAAAATTACTAAATACAGTCAACAAATTTGGAAGCTCTGGAAACGAGATTATCTATCCCATTTGCAACAACGGGGTAAGTGGATGTTTCCTAAAAACAATGTTAAAGTAGGTTCATTAGTTTTGATTAAAGACGAAAGTATGCCTAGTACCAAATGGTTGACTGGAAGAATATCGGAAATTATTTTTGGTAAAGATGAAAAGGTACGAGTTGTCAATATAAGGTTGGCCAATGGCAATTTGTTGAAAAGAAATGTTCGTGATATTTGTCTATTGCCTATCAATGATAATTAAAATTTTGTTATATATTTTACTAATTTACTTGATTGTTGGATTTAAATGTTTTCCATATATTGCTTATTTTGTATTTTATATATCTTTGATTCTATATGTTATCATTTATTTAGTTTGAAACCCTTAAGGTTTCAAGGTCGGGAGTATGTTCCCGCGCCAAATTAATTAAAAAAAGATCAAGAGATGGCGCTGGGAAGAGTCATGTGTATTAAGTGAAATAGAAATAAAAAAGATGGAGGAAGAGCAAGTCGTGTGTCCTTTATTGTGGTAAAAAACAAAAAAAGGAACCAGCTAAAAAGTTTTTCTGAACGAATATTGTTCAACGCTTTTTTCCTTACTATTTTGAGATTTGGTTATGACGAAAATTACTAGCAAATTTAGGTGTTTTCCTTTTTTTTAAATTTTTTTCTTTAGAAATCATTATTATATGTTAGATTCTATGCAAAGTGTTCTACTACCACATTTCTTAATATATACCCAGACAGCAGTGTAAGGTTGATTTTAATGTCAGCTACAACCCTTATCACAAAGCCTAACAATGCTTATAAATGATTAGCAAATCAACCATGCAAGCTTGAAATAATGTTAGTTTGCGCGCTATGAAGTTTGCATTAAACTAGCGAAAGCAACACTTTTATATCGAGATTGATTTTGCCTTTATAAAAGAAGGCTAGATAAACCTTTTGAAATCCAGGATGAATTGCAATGAAGAATAGAAAGTGTCCTCAAAATCGAAGCTCAAATAAATGTTTATTTCAACTGGTGTAACGAATAGAAACAAAATAATTAAAACATAGTTTGTTATGTAAAAAAAAATTTAGAGTTACTAAAAAAATTAACCATTTCATAATTTTAAAGACTTACATTTCTATTTTTTCGAGAATTTATTTTACGAAAACATTAAGTCATCGTTTCAAATTTTCAATGTAAAATAAAATAATTTTGTTTTAAGTGTATTTTGACGCTTTACTCTACGAAATATATGCAGTAAGTATTAAAATTAACCTTCATTTTGTTAGCAAGAGTGGGAAAAAATATTTAGATGAAGCTCCAAATTTTAGAGGCATTATTTATTTAATGATAGCATAAAAGAAACTGTTGATCATTCTTAACTTTTCAAGGCTTTGTCGCGGATCGTCAGCCAAATGTCTTCTCATTGTCTGAAATATTTGTCTTCTTGTCAGTCTACTTTTTTCTGGAACGTTTTCCAAAATAATTGCTTTCCTTCTTTTATTGAAACTTTTTTTTTTATAAATAATAAAGCTTTATGTTTTGTTTCTCTCATCTTAACTTCTTGAACAACTTTTTAAAGCTTAGATAAAAATTACGATAGTAGACCTTGTACCTTTTAGAGTCATGAGAATTTTTAAGGAAGGTAAACACTTATTTTTTTTAATTCCTTTATTTTTCGTTCAAGCATGAATTTAAAATTAGGGATCAATATAATTCAAAACATCAAGAACATGATCATCATCCCGCCTTGACCAAGCACCATTTTCAGGGCTCTATCTTTAAACGGCCGTGGTAGGAATGCCACGCAGTTTCGACAGTAGTCAGACAATGCGGATAGCGCCTGAGCTGGTACCCCTCCCTTCAAACTTCCCAACCAACGACAGGACTTGAAGCCTTGACAAAGTTAACGTGAACCTTGCTACGTATACAAGCTGGTTGTTTTGTTGGCCACCTGGATCGAACTTAGTATCCCAGCTCTCCAACCAGCTGTGCGAGCGGCACCTTAACTGACTGCGCCATTAATATGAAACAATCGTTATGATATCGTCAATTAAAAGGGAACTTTAATAAACCTGAAAATGTCTTGTCAAAGTAGTAGGTCTCTTAAAAAAGGATTGAGGGGTGAGGGGGTTACCCAAGGTTAAACAACCATTTATACGATAATACTTGCCATTCTTCAGTAACTGACTTAGTTTTCTGGGAATCATTTCAGATTTTGAAAAATTCTAATTTTTTAGTTTATGGCCTTTCTGAAGCCCCCCCCCCATCATTTCACATTGTTTGAAAATCCATATTGCATAACTAGAATTCTCACACCATCTCAATAGGTCTTTTCGTTCATTTCCCCTCCTTTGTGTCCTTCATATGTGTTTCCCACCTCTTATTGGTTTAACCACTTTTTTTCTAGTTGCAACTTGTTTGCAATTTTTCCTCTGCACCTACTTGTTCCTCTTTGGGAAAAGTTTTTCATTATAGAGCTAGAATGATACTATGTCTGTTTCTGCGGCTTTATTTATGCTTTATTTGCGTTATCTAATTTTAGTTTCATATACAATGATGAAGAAAAACCCCAAGACAAAGAAAAAATTATTGTAACGAAATTTCAGTAATGCGTTTATCTGAGTAACCTTTTTTTATTGATTAAAGTTCCAAGATCACAAATTAATGCAATGAAGGGAAAAAAACCACTCCAAATGTGAAATACTGGTATATTAATAACCGGTATAAAAACCAAAATTGTGAATGCAAGCGTGCATTTTGTCATACAGATGCTGTATATCACTTTGTGGGATGGAGCTCCATGCCTGTTGCGCTTGGTCAATCAATACAGGGATAGTTAATGCTGGTTCTGTGTGATGCTGAAGTTGTCGTCCAACGATTTCCATACATGCTCGATCGATAAGAGATCCAGTGATCTGGCAGGCCAAGGCAACATGTCGACCTTCTGTAAAGCATGCAAGATTACAACAGCAGTTGAGGGCGAGCGTTATTCTGCTGCAAAATACTCCCTTGAATGCTGCTCATAAATGGTTTCAAAATAGGCTGAATCACCAGGTTGAAGTACAAATTTGCAGTCAAGGTGCGTGGAATAACAACGAGAGTGGTCCTGCTGTCATAGAAAATTGCTCCCCAGATCATAACTTCAGATGTAGGTTCAGTGTGTCTAGGCGGTAACAGGCGCTCTCCTGGCCTCCTTTTAACCAATATACGTCTATCACTGGCAGCAAGGCGGAACCGACTTTCAACAAAAAACACAACAGATCTCCGCTCTGTCCTGCAATGAACCTAACTGGACACCACTCACGTCGTAAACGGCAGTGGTTTGGAGTGAGTGGAATGCAAGCTACAGGGCTTTTTGCTTGGAGCTGTACTTGAAGTAGCCGATTTGCAACAGTTCGTTGTGTCACTGCAGTGCCAACTGCTGCTCAAAGTTCCGATTCAGACGCCGTATACGGTGGTCTTCCTTATGAGTTATGCCGCGTGACAGCCCAGAAACGGGTGTTCTTAAGCAGTAACTTTCCTTGGTCACTGCTGCCAGCACTCATGCACAGTGGGTACATTTCTCGCAGCCCTATTGCACGACAACGTTCTAAGGGTCTGGATCAGATTTATTCCCCTAAGAAACGTCTCATGTCGAACAGGTTGGGCCACGGTGGCTCAGGGGACAGAAAGATCGTCCCCCAATGAGGTAACCCATGTTCAAATCCCAGCTGTGGCTGATTGCTACGAATTCTGTTCCCGGCTCACACCGACAACAGTGTTGACTTAAAATATTCTCAGCAGTAAGCAGATCATAGGTCAGATTCCCCTTGCCATGGATAATCATGGGAAATTTTCGTAGTTTTTCTCTGCATGATACACAAATGCGGGTTAGTTTATCAAAAATCTTTTGGGTAGAATTCAAAATTAAAAGGCTACGGAGTTAAACTTCGATAGTTGTAATTTCAGAATTGAGTCGGCTGTTCAACTTTTGTTATAAAATAAAATGAATTAAAATCGAACTGATTCTCGTGAATTCTTCTCATATTCTGAGTGGCTTGCCGGGGTGTCTTATTTTACTTGCTCTTAATTTGCTTGATAACAATTTATTACATTGTTCTGTTTGAAACGTTCGATAGAGCTTGCAAATTTCTGCCGAAGTTACCTGTTCTAGAGAGCTTCTGAAAGTTTTAAATATTAATATATATACTGGGAATTATAAAAAGGAAGGTTAAATTTATCATGATTTAGACAAATTAATTAATTAATCCTCAATAATTTGGTGAAACAATTGAATTTATTAAACATGTGAGATTTGAGGAAAATAAAAAAGGCAATTTGAGTATGTGGCACGATGAATTTACAAGAATGTATAGGAGATAAAAAAAACTAATTAATAATTAATTCACCTTAACAAAAAACATATTAATCCATCTAATTGACCGAATAGTGGATCTTAATTGACCGAATAGTGGTAGTAAAAAAATACATTGTCGGAAATTGAAAAAATGTCACATAGGTTAAGGGAACTAAGAAATAAAAAAATATTTTTAAGTAATAAGAGCTCATGCAGCTACAGAAAGCTGGTAAAATATAGTGGAGAAAAATAAGGAAAAACATATCAAACACTAACTCTTACACCAGCAAACTGACCGGGTGCGGGTGGCTACTGGGGGTGGTCAACGCAGGTCAAAAAATTACAGCTGGAGAAGCAGAGCAGGATAATTCATGATTGAGATGGGTCCAAAAGATGGTTTCGATTTACAAAAAGCAAAATTGAATGAAATTAAGGCTTTGCATGACTTAAAGGAAGGGTAAAATAAAATGTGGATGATAAGCAATAATGTTATAAAATAAATTCATATTGCACAGTTAAAAAATTAAGAGTATCAACATGTTCCTATAGTTTAATAATACATCTTTATAAATTGAAAAATAAGATGAAAAAATTACAGCAGGAGCTTGTAAATAAAACATAATAATAATCTGCAAGTGTTATAAATAATTAATAAAAAAAGTGCAATCGTTGAACATATACATAGTAAATAACACAGCTTAACAAGTTGAAGTCTGAAAAAAAAATGAACTTTAATGAAGTTAGAAAGAAGCCCATATATAAGAAATTAAGAGTTAAAAGGCAAAAGTAAAACCAATTAAAAAGACAAACAAAAGTAACAGACAACAAAAGTAAGGAGAATATATACTTTGTGATAAATAACGTTATCACCGAGCTCAACTTGACTGCCTGCCGATAATGAGAAAAAAATGATGACGTCATTTTAGGAACATGATATGATATCAAAATTAGGAAACGAGTTATAGATAAAAACAACAGAAATCATTTGCCACAGTTCATGGCGCCAGTTCCTTGCACTATATAGGAATCATAAAAATATTTAAAAAATTAAAATGGGAAATAAAAATGCACTCAGCAATAAAGAAAAAGAGGAAAAAAATTTCAATATTTCGGAAGAAAAAAAGCTCACAATTTCTTTGATAGGAGTACCGTGTAAGTTAACATATTTTTAATGCTGTTTCTTTATTTAATCTTACAATTTGAATAATAACTTACTTCAAATTTAGCAGTTATTGCTCTAGATAAAATACATTTTTAAAAAGACAAGAAAATATTTTTGGTTTATTTTGCATTGTTTTATTAATCTTGGTAATAAAAATTGTCGCATTTTACACTACCAGGACGCATTGCAGAAGGGGTTATCCGAAAACTTATTCCGATTCTTTAATCTTTTTTAAAATACGTATACTATTGAGTAAAAAAAATTTTCCTAATTAAAGTTATTCGTTACTTTGAAATACCAATTTGATTGAAACTAACTCGTCTCTTGGATGATAAAACTATGCATGTCAAATTTAAAAAAAAACATTTGATGTCTAAGATCTGTTTAACAGCATTCCATTTTCTTAACGAAAAGGTGTTCTTTTGAGTTTTTATTGCGATTATAAGAAATATTATTAATTCCGAATTCGATTACAGGGAAACTCTAATTAAAATATGCTTCTTTTTTAATAATAATCCTTATAATGAAATTTTTTAAAATTCAAATAGCGGAATATCGCAAGGATGTAATTTTCCCTTATTTTTAGCTTATTTTTACACGATTATGAAAAACATTTTACTTTAAATATCAAATATGTTTTTAGATTTATCGATGATTTATTTGTATTTAATTTTCGAAATTTTATAATTTCATTAATTAATATTTAACCCGTTGAAATAATATTGCTGACGATAATATTAATTTCTAATTTTTGGATATAAGTATTAAAAAAGACGAAAACACTTGAATTATTGACATATACGATTAAAGGAATATTTTTAAGTTTAATATAAATAAGCTAATTGCATGAAATTCTAATATTTCTAAAAACATATGTAGTAATATTTATTTATTAAAAAAAAAAAAAAACGGTTGACAATATTTTCCAAAATTTGAAAAAAAAACAACGTATATTAAACAAATTTTTAACAAAATCATTGAGTTAGTTGTGTAATAAAATAATAATATAATAAACTTATTAAAAAATCTTTTACTCATCCAAATTAATATTTATGTCATGTGCAAATCTCCTCCAATATCCAATTAAATAAATACTAGGAGGCTCCGCCCCCTGTTTGCTAACGCTCGCCAACCCCCGAGGATTGCTACGCAATCCTATGTGGTTCACGCCGTGAACCATGGCTCGCTGCGCTCGCTCGCCAATGAACACAATGTTCTAGCACAAAGACATAATATATTATCATCAAAGACATAGTATTTTATCATCAAAGACATAGTATTGTACTTATGTAGAAGAATTCTACCAATGTTCTTATTGGCTTTTAAAAAAGTATATTAGCTATTTAGATTGTACATGGTGAAAAAATCAAAACATTAGCTAAATAAGAAACATATTAGCAAAATAAATTATCAAATATTGCTTCACTAATATTCTGCATTTTAAAGCGTGAAAATTCAATGCATAAATAAACGCGAAATATAAAAAAATTCAATGCATTCAATACAAACACTTAAACGTTTTTTAGACGTTTAGGTAGCTCCCAGTAGAAAAATATCAATTCAACAGCGGCCTTTTAAAGCATTCTCACTTCAATTAATTAATTAATTCCTAATTGAGTTTAAATTAAATATTGTCATGTTTTTAGTGCATGAATCTGAATTGAACAACCTGATAATGCTCACTCTGGTTATTGTTATCTGGTTGCTCACTACGTGCTCTTGCGCGCCGAATCCAATCAATTAGAAATGAAAACTGTTGCCAGCGCGAGAAAAGAAATATCATCGGTTTTATTGATACATACATACATACGTACGTATTAGCGTTTTATATAATATAGATTTTCATTACATTTTAATAATTCCTATAAAAATCATCAAACTAAAATGTTGTGTTTAAATTTTAACCTATCATATATTTTAAACTTCGAATCATCCAGTATAATATATTTTTATCATACGCTAATCCAGTTCTCGGGTTTTTTTCAAGGCGACATACAAATGCTGTACTTAAGTAGTATGAACGCGTATTGGAAAAATATATCCCACTACCCTTCTATTTTTGCTTTAATTTTATATTTCGTAATTTGGGAACTTAGTCAGAATATAAATAATTATCTCATAAATACATGACAGTTGGTATCTTTTCTCGCATTACATGTTCCTATTTCTGTATTATTTTGTATTTTTCTCGAATATTTTCCCTGCATTATTGTATTGATATATTTTGCTTTTGCTATATCAATACAATATTTGAAAGTAATATTTTTGCGGACATACTTATGAGACAATATTATATCTTTTCGTTTTTTTATAGTTTTAATTACCTTTTTTGTGTGTGTTTTTTCAATTTTGCAATAATTTTTATAGCTATTCTGCTTTTCTTTTGAATCGTTTTTTTTATTTCTCTCCTTATTTTCGTTGTATTTTTTCCGTTTTTTTATAGGTTCTATATACCTGCAACTTATGCGGGTTTTTGGCTTTACGAGAAAACCTAACGGCTAGGTTATTTTTTGGTAAAATTAACAAGGTTTTATATTATATAATAAAATTTGGTATTTATATCATATCTTAGAACATGGCATTAAACATTAAAATCATTTGTTCGTTTAAATTTACTTTTCATTTATGTATTGTTTACTTATCGTGAATTACAATTTTGAATTGTAGCAATTATTTTGAAAACCAGAATTTCATGTAAACCGTCACCTGAAAAATTACCAAATGGTTTGTTCATTTTGAATTTTATTTCAAAACAATGGTTCTTTATTTTTATCAGTTATGCCATTACCATACAGTACTGTAATTTTTCCAACAAAGCATTAAATGTAAAAAAAAAATGTTGCTAATATTTATTCGAATAAAAAGTAGTGAGGAAAAATTCGCCATTTTAAATTTGTATTCTCTACAATTCAAAATATTTTCGACTACAATTAAATGAGGCAGTAAAAAATAACTAATGTTACTTAAAATACTTTTTGCACCGAATTATCGTGGGACGAAACGAATGAATTATAAACGAAATTTTCAGATGTGTGTAAAACTTTTACGATTCATTTAAATAAGTCTGAAGATATGGCGATCTACAGAAAAAGTAAAATTAATATCGACGAATCCAAATTTTCGACCGCTCTTCTGGCCATATTTTTCAGATGTGCTACCTTCTATATTTTGAAGGTCAAGAATTCTAATCTAACAAAAAAAGTACATTTATTCGGAGAAAGTCCGTTTTTGGATCTGCTTCGTAGCATCAAATATATTCTGCATTAATTAATTAGTATTTTCAAGGTAAGCTTAGACCTTTGAACAATTTAAATCGAGTCCTATCATTAAAGAAAATGTAATTCTAGGTGTTCACCTTTAATTCGGTCGAAAAAATTCTGAGAAATCAAATTTTAAATAACATTTTTAAAATTCGATTTCTTAGAAGCTATCCAACTGATTTCAATCAAATTTTGTATTTAGAATAGTGCAATTATATACTTTAAAATAATGTAAAAAATTGTATACATTGGAGTTTTTTCGACTATTATTAAATAAATTAATAAAAAATAATAAACATTTACTAAAATTCATTTTTTGCATAGAATTTTTATTGAATATTTTAATATTTTTGTGTAAAAATGTTTCAATTCTCTTATAAAGTTTTCAAGAAATGGTGAAATGCACCAAAAAGTAAAATTAAATTTAAGAAATCAAAATTTTGGTCAGTTCTTCTAACCATACTATTCGAACCACATTTCCCAGATTGCGCTATTTCCTATATTTTGAGTGCCAGAAATCTAAATTCGTCGAAAAAGAAAGACATGTTCATCCAGAGGAAGTACGTTTTTGTGTCTGATTTCGTAACTTAAAATATCGTCTGCAATAATTAACATATTTTAGGTCACCCCCTCGAACCATTAAGTTTGAGTTCTAGAAGAAGATCCGATCATTTGATAAAAAATTATTCAAGGTGATCCGTTTTTTTTTTTTTTTTTGGCACACTGTACATTTTTGGGTCAGATTTTGTAGCATATCATCGACAATAATTAATTAGCAATTTTAAGGTTAGGCTTCTGAATCACTAAGATCGAGTCCCATAATGTGAAAATCCGATTATTAGAGAAAAAGTTATTTAAGGTGTTCATATTTTTAGTTTATAGTCACTTTTTTTGTTTTTATATGTTCTCTTATTAAAAATAAGCTATTTTTAATTTCAGTTTTATAGTTAGTATCATTTATTTTTCTCTTTTAGGTTCTAATTTTCATCTAATTATTTTTATATTTCAGTGGTAGGAAAAACATCTATGCTGCAAATGTATCGAACTGGAGAGTTAAGAGGTAATTTCCTCCCTTTCCTTTGGTATAAATTTCCACTTCAAATCTTTTGAAGCTTTTGTTGTGGTATAAATAATTTTCTTTAATATTAGTTGTTTTGGATGTCTAGTTTTTATAAATGTAGATTAAAAATCGGGAGTGAAAATTGAAATTTTCTCCAAAATTCTTTTACTAAAATAAACGTATTTTTTTAAAAAAAAATCAATTTATTCAAAAAATTTGCAATTATAAGTGTTTTCTTTAATTTTTGCTTTAAACAGTGACCATGTATGTTTTTTTTTAAAGAAAAAAAGGAAAATGTACTCATCTCTCATAACTTTTATTCCAAAGCTCGCTTTTTTTGTTGCAGTTAAAAGTAAAAAAGATAAAAAATAAAAGATACAAAAGAAAAAAAGGAAATGTGTTGCTATATAATCGCTAAAGTTTACCAGTATTGTTTCAATTTTTTAACTAAAAATGCTTTTCATAGTGATAGTTGATCATAATTATTTGTTGTCTGACTCATGAAAGTGTCCCAAAAGATTTTTTAATGAAGACATTATGCATAAAAAAGTCAAGCAAGTGACAGGATTAAACTTTCTATTTGTAAGAATAACAAAAAGATTGCTTTCCATAACGCATCTGTATACATTATTTTCTTTAATCATACATCATTTTCTTTAATCACATCATTAATTTCGCGCTATTATAAATAAAAAAAATAGTTTGCATGAAACCACACTGTTGACACTACTAATAATTAAATCCTGTGTTCGTGTATTGTTGCCGTCAAATGATGTGAAATTTCAGCAGAAGGCCATTTCTCATAACTTCTCCATGTTGTTATGATTTGCGGTTATTAAGTTATTTGAACTAACTTTTGTTACAAAATCTAATTATTTAATTATATTATTATCAATTATTTAATCATATTGGGTATTATTTCTCACTCCTTAAACACTAACTTTTAATTTATAGCACACAGTGAGAGTATCTTGATCGATGTCGCAGAATGTAGAATTAAAGTACAGAACTGGAACGAAACATTTGTTATTTTTGATGTTCCTGGTCATTACATGTTTCGAAGTCTTGTGCCCAGGTACGTTTAAGAAAATTATTTTTATAGATGATATTTTGTGCCTATTTCTTCTTTGTTGTTAAATTGTTTTTCAATTTATCTGAAAATTCATTTATTTCACCATCAAAACGTTTTGAGCTACTTGTCATTTAAATCAAATGTAAATATCGCTGTATTCGACGTTGAGAAAACAAACGTTGAGTTAAATTAATACTCATAAATGTTGCCCTAAGTTTTATTATTTTATTCTTATTAATTGAACTTAATTTTGGAGCTTTTGCTCACTCTAAGGTTAGGAGAAACGCTGCATTAAATTTAAGAACTTATAAAAATGCAAAAAAAAGAAGAAAAAAAAAACTTTTCTAACTGTTGTAAATTCGTAACAGCTATTCATAGCACTTTATGCTAAAAATGAACGTGATAAAAAATTTCAGCGAGAAGAAAATGCACAGTATATTTAAATATAATACAGCACGCAAAGAAAAAAAACGGATCACCCTGAATAACTTTTGATCTAATAATCGGATCTTCACGTTCTAGGCTCAATCTTTATAATTCGAGTTGCCGAAATCAGACACCAAACGTACTTTCTCTGAACAAACATACTGGATTTAGATTTCGACCCTCAAAATATAGGATGTAGCCGCAATCTGCTAAATATGGTCAGGAGAGCGATCCAAAGTTTGAACCCCTAATGTTAATTTTATTTTTTGTGTATTTCACAATGTCTCGAGACATTTTTAAGTGAATTGAAAAATCTTTACCCACAATTATAAAATGTTTTACATTATTTTAAAGTTTCTAATTTGGCATAGTAAAATACGAAATTTGCGCGAAATTGGTTGAATAGTTCCTGAGAAATCAAGTTTTAAAGGAGTTGTATATTTAAAATAAATAAACACACAGTAAGTGATTCAGAACTGATGATCTCGTGAGTCGGTCTTTGGTTGAAGAGGGAAATGAGGAGAAATTTAAATATTGTCATTTACACACTTGAGGTTCGGTTTTCATTAACGCTGAATCGAATGAAATTGATTTCGTGGTATATCTGATTAATATATCCGAAGTTGAGGGGACTTTACTTACGAAAAGTACGATTTTGTAACTGTTTGTGTGTACATGAAAGGCATTATCTCTGATGTATATTTTTTACGCTTTTAAGACTAAGCAGAAGTCCCTGTGGCGATAAGATGAACATTTCAAACATTGCAATGAGTTTTCTGTATAAAAAAGTATTAATTTTTATTTATACTTAGTTTGAAGAAAATCTCGATAACCTTCTACATTAGTTATTCTATCGACTCAGACTCATTAAATTGAAAAAGGAAAACGCCCCAATATATATATATATATAAAATAATAATTTTTATCATAGGATAATTATTCGTTATTCAGAAATATCGCATTTATACCAATAGATGTGTCTTGATAACGACTATTGGGTTCCCCATTTTTAGTTTCTCTTGATATTAATTTTTAGTTAATTATTTGTGTTTAGTTTATTATTTGTGTTAATAAAAGAATTAAAACTCTTTCGTTTTCATAAAATGTCTTTGGTAAAGAATAGATGTAGAAATTCTATTTTGGGAATTCAAGGCTGAAAACTTACCATTAAATTATAATTAGATTTATATTTCAAAGGAGGAGTTATTTTTAGAATCTTGTCCCTTTTTCACTTCCATATTAGGAAGCATTAAATGATTTTCCATAATGCGTAGAGTTACAAAGGTATGTACGACTGGAACCTAGTATTTAATGCGGGATCGACGGTTTTCGCATTTCTCTTGCTGAATAACGTGTTCCATAAAACATCTACCGGAACCATCCGAAGCCTTGTCCACACCCCGTCCCTTGTAGAGTGGGGATGTGAACTGTTATAACTACCAGCATAACTTTAAATGAACCTTTTTATAACGTATTATGGCTTTTGACCGCATTATTAAAGTTGAATACAACAATGATAACAGGGATGTAGCTCTGTTATTATATATATCTTTATATATAAGAAGAGAATGGAATGATAACGCATACCCAATCACAGAAGACTTCTGGTTAGTAACGCAGAGAACAGCCAATCAAAATTAAGAACGCATGTGTGTGAAAAGGTAATAATTTTATAATAATGCTGTCAAAATATACAAAATACAAACTGACCTCAAATAAAACTCAGAGGACTTCGAAACAAATAATTAAGANACAAATAAACTCGCCACGATTTGAGGAGAAACTTGCTTGTCTAACCAACATTTGATTCCGACAAACGATGTCGACTTGTCGGATACGACATAATCGTTATCGTATCGGTGATTGAAAAAGCACTCCGCTGCTGACCATGTATTTTACTTGACTCTATGTCGTTCGCCGACAATCGGATCCGTTTTGTCGTTATCGTGTCGTGTAATGAAAAAGCGCCCTACGTAAAGCTATAAAAAGACCGAACGATTATTTATGCAGACGATTATATATGATTATTATGAACTAAACTTTATGCAAACGATTGTTTATGATGTCATTAGATAAAAGTGTCATTAACGCAATATCATCCAGTGTTTATTAATAATTTTGAGTGGCAATGTAAAAAGATAGTTGTTCTAAAGTTTTATAATAAAATGTTTGTTTTGATCGAAAGCAGTTATTTATTTTAGAATTCCAATATATTTTAATAGCTCTGATAAATCGGGTTTTATTGTTTACTGATTTAAATGTTTATTGATCATTGATGACATAATTATTTCATTTCATATTTGTTTTTTTATTAGTATTCAGTATGACATAAAAATTAAATTGCTTAATTTAATTTGTCGAATTTCAGTTACTTATGTTTTTATTATATAACTTGCTTTTTGTCTGATTGAAACTAAAATATTTAGTCAGTTGACAGTATTGAAGTTAATTGGGCAATTACTTGCAATGTTATTTGCTTTTGAAATATCACTCAGCATCAACTTATTAATATTACATGTTTTAATTTGTTTGCCATAATTTAAAGTTCTTTTTCATAAGGTTTTAATTTTTTTCAGTTTAAAACTTAAATTACTGGGGGGTGGGGAGGAAGCACCATATAGGGAGCTTCCGGCATCCTATAAGATCATCAATGATTTGAGTTAGGCTCTGTCACGCGTGCTTCGGATATGGAGATTAATCTCCGGATAATGCCCTATAGCAGTGTTTCCCAAACTTGTGACTTTTGTGTACCCTTTCTAAATTTTTCGTAACGCTGTGTACCACTAATAAAAAAATGAATGTATTTTTTTCTATCAAAAATTTTTACAAAAGATAAAAATCACAACTGGCTGTTGACACCACTAATTATTAATTGTTAACTCTTCAAAAAAATAGCCAATAGAAAAATATGTAAGGATATTAAAGCTTAACGAAGAAGTGAGTTGTTTTTTTTCCTTTTTTTCTGTGCTTACTCCATTAAATTTTGTTTCGATTCAAAATACATTTTATTGGGTTTATTAATTTTGCTCATATCGGGTTCATTGCAATTTTATAAAGTTTTGTTGAAATTTTCCAATGTTTTATTGAAATATCATTATATTTTGTCAGCCACTCCTGTTACCATGGTGTTCCGCGCAAACATAAGTCGCCAATTTCGCCAAGGGGCACCCTCAAGTATATTTTTACCCCTAAATCAAATTATTGTTGATCTTATAGGATGCCGTATGCTCCCTATATGGTGCTTCATCTCCCCCCCCCCAGTAATTTGAATTTTAAACTGAAAACAATTAAAACCTAATGAAAAAAAACTTTAAAAGATGGCAAACAAATTAAAACATGTAATATTAATAAGTTGAAGCTGAGTAATATTTCAAAAGCAAAAACCATTGCAAGTAATTGCCCAATTAACTTCAATACCGTCAACTGACAAAATATTTTAGTTTCAATCAGACAAAAAGCAAATTATATAATAAAAACATATGCAACTGAAATTCGACAAATTAAATTAAGCAATTTAATTTTTTTTTGTCATATTGAATACTAATTAAAAAAAAAATGTAAAATTAAATAATTATTTTATCAATGATCAATATACATTTTTGTCTGAATTGTTAGTGCATGTTACTGTTAATCACCGAAATCTCTGGTTGTTGATTTTCACCGGTGAATGTTGACTATCACATAGTCGCTTTGGTGAATATCCAAAATATTTATTACATCCGATTTATTCGTGGATATAATTACATTTATTCGATATTTTAATACTTACTGACGATAGATTAGAAGAAACATCAGTGCTTGGAGTATCGGGGAAATATATACCGGCAATGGCACTTGACCTTAAAAAACATCAGAGTAGTGTATACCGGGCAGTGGCACTTAACTTGACCTAGAATGACTAGACCTTTGGTAAATGTCCGAAATATATACTAGGTCTAGTGCCACTGCCCGGTTTACATTTGCTCGGTATATCCTACACTGATGTTTTTTTTTAAGGTTAAGTGCCATTGCCCGGCATACATTTGCCCGGTATACACTACAATGATGTTTTTTGAAGGTTCAGTGCCACTGCTCGTTATACATTTGCCTGGTATACCCTGTACTGATGTTTTTTTAAGGCCAAGTGTCACTGCCCGGTATACACTACAATGATGTTTTTTGAAGGTTCAGTGCCACTGCCCGTTATACATTTGCCCGGTATACCCTGCACTGATATTTTTTTAAGGTCAAGTGCCATTGCCCGGTATATATTTGCCCGATACTCCAAACACTGATGTTTCTTCTAATCTATCGTCAGTAAGTATTAAAATATCGAATAAATGTAATTATATCTATGAATAAATTAAAGTCAAATCGGATGACGTTTTGAATTTGTCATTTTTGAATGACATTTTGACGAATCGGAGATGTATTTTATACTTTGCCGGTTTCTCATTTGGCATTCTATGTGGACTGTATTATCGCTGGTAAGACCTAAAATTAGTAATTTTTCTAAATCTGGTAAATACTAGTGTAGGAATACGACGAGAGAGAGCACCACCACAACCTTTTAACAGCTTGTTTATTGCGACTCTGACTCTTACTGTAGATGGNAATCAGCAGTGGGGACAAGTGAGGGAATGACATATTGGTATATTTTAATTACCTAAAATAAATAAAAAATAAAAATTGATAATTTTATTTTTATTCTTTTGTTAGCTTGCATTCTGAAGGACACTTTCCCTGAATTTTTTTTCTTCGTAAGCTGTAAAACAAACATAAAATATACTGGGGACATGAAAATGACTGTTTTTGTGAGAATGACCCATATATATATATATATATATACATACACACACACAAATACAATATTTTCACTTTATTAAGGCAGATTGAAAGGTCAAACGGTGTTCTTTTGCTGTATGATGTTACAAGAGTGTCTACGTTTCTAGAACTCTCCAAATTGATTGAAAATGTGAGAGAATGGAATCCACAAATCATTATATTTATAAGTAAGTTTTAATTTTCTACTTTAGTTTTTGAAATTGATCTAAGCACTCTAAAGCAACAAACGTTTCAAGAAATTGCTTCCTTATGATACATTTAAATTAATTTTATCATCTGGAAATTTTCAAAATTAATTTTTTTCTAATAGCACACTAATCTGCAATAGATATTTTCCCTCTTCTATATGAGTTAAATGCCATTTGCCCTATGTCGTATTTCAAATTCTATGCAAATGGACTTTTTTTGTGATGATTCAAATCTCACAGATAGAAATGCTGACTTTGATAACATTTTTCATACTTTCATGAAACTCTTTTCACATTAAATATTGATTCACTGCAATTTATAAGACCGTCTTAGTGACTATATTTTTTCAAAAACAGAAAAATACTAGGATGGGCATTAAATACCAAATAATTTAAAAACATTAAAGCTAAGCAGAACTTCTCAAGAAGGCGTACTTTCACTTGCCCAAGTATTTAAACTCTCAAGAAAATTGATAAAATGTTGAATCTTAAAACCAGTACCTAGAATCGCAAACGTGCAAACTTGCTAAAAAATTTCTTGCGCAAGATAAAAAAAGGATCATCCTGAATAAATTTTGATCTAATGATCACGTTTTAGAACTTAATCTTGATGACCTCAAATATGCTATTTAATTAGTGCAGACAATTTTTTAAGTTACGAAATTAATCATAAAAAACTTACTATTTCGTAATAAACACATTTGTCGATGGAATTGATTATAGACCGTCAAAATATAGGGGGGAGCAGCAATCAGAGAAATATATTTTCCATAGTTTAATCAGGAGAGCGCTTCAAAGTTTGAACCCATTAATATTTGTTCTGAGAAAATACGTTTTTTTGTCCGATTTCCCAACTTAAAATATCGTATGCACTAATTAATTAGCAAGAGCCACGATTATTCAGGGGATAGAGCGTTCTCTTTCCAATGAGGCGAACCGAGTTCGAATCCCAGTCGATACGAAATCCGAATCCTGCTTGCACTGACCACAGTGCTGACGTGAAATATCCTCAGTGGTAGACGGATCATGGGTTAGAGTCCCCTTGCCGTTAGGCTAACCGTGGGAGTTTCTTGTGGTCTTCCTCTCCATGTAAAGCAAATGCTGGTTAGCTCCATCAAAACCGTCCACCGCGAAAGCAAGTTTCTCCCAATACTCAATCCAGGAGTTCCCTTGTCTTCTGGATTGGGGTCAAAGTTACAAGTATGCGATGTTGGACATTAGTAATCGTAAATTATAATTTCTGATGTTTTGTGTAAGTTTTATGTATCTACTCTCGTATGCCCTTAAATAGAGCGGGACGAGATACAAATAAGCAACTAGTAATCGTAAACCCATGAAATTGGGTCGGCTGTTCATCGACTGTTATAAAATAAAAATAAAATTAATTAGCATGAAGCCGTGGCGACTCATGGGATATAAGGCTCACCTCCCAATTAATGTGGTGAACCGGGTGCGATTCTCTGCAATGGCGGGTTAGATTCCCAAACCCGGGTTGCACCGACCACAATTCTGACATGAAATATCCTCAGTAGCAGACGGACCATGGGTTAAGACCACGAAGTCAAATTTCTCCCAATACATGATCCAAGAGTTCCTTGGTCTTCTTTTATGTGTTCAAAATTACAAGGATACGGAGTTGAACATTGATAGTCGTAGACTGAAAATTCGGTCTGCTGTTCAACGACGGTTATGAACTAAAATAAAAAATCAATTAGCATATTTGAGGTTACCCTCTCGAACCATTAAGATTTAGACAGTAAACTTATAATTCCAATCATTTGATCAGAAGTTATTCAGGGTGAGCTGCATTTAAATTTGCGCACTCTACGTCTTATGAAGTATAATGAGGGGGTACTTATCACCGAATTATGATTCTTTCAAACAGTGCATCAACGCAACCCTTGGCAGAGCAATGTTCAGATATATCTTATGTAGAGAAATAGCAGCATGTTTCTCATTAAATTATTACACGATGTTCAAATATTCGACCTATGTATACAGAAGGGTGATAAAATTATTCGTACGAAATCACTCGAAAATTTGCAATCGCAAGCCCGATTGGGAGGTTGAAAATTGCAGATAAAAACGCATAGGTTTTTAATCTGGACGGAACGAAAGGTGGAGCCACGTTCAAGAATTGTTTTTAAGAATGGTTCAGTTAACTTTTATAATAATTATTCACGTAATTTTTTTGTAGTTGGCAGATTTACAGTATCTTTTTTAGTTGATTCCAGGAAATTGAAATAACTTGTCTGAGGGTAAAACGCGTTTTTCTCCCTTTATTTTTCGTATTCTCTCCTTTCGTTCGCATTTTTCTCTCCTCGATGCTTTTTATCACCCATCTGAATTTGTCGATTGAAATGTGGAACACACTATTTTTTTTGAGCTCAATAAATATAATATATATGTATCCCTTTTATAAAATTAAAAAAAATTTTGTAACGATCATAACATTATGTCCCAATTCTTCGGACAACATATGTATTTATCACATTTTTTTTTATAGAGTTTTAACATTTCTTCATTGTTGACAGTTGGAGTTCAATGGGATCTCTTCGATCAAAAAGAAGTATCACGCGATACTGGTAAAAAATTTGCACAAAGTAAAAACTTGGAGTTTTTTGAATGCAACATCAGAACTGGTGAAAATATAGACGAAGTAAGATGCTCTTACATATTTGATCTTTCCCTTAAGACTACGGCCCTTTATGATAAATGGAAAAATTTCATTACTCTTTACAAGGTTATATGACAGTACGATATGTAATGTTCCGCCACTGTAAGATAATTCATATCAGTATCGTTTCTAATGTTTCTAAAAGAGTAGGCAACAAAAAATCGATGGAAATAATTTGAAAATACTTTACATTTATTTCATGTAAACACCTTTAAAAACGTGCATTGGGGACAACATTTCCATATGATCTCTTACAGATGTTTTTATCTTTATTTTTTATTTTGTAACCATATTTCAAGATTGAGTTACCTACGATACTTNATCTTCGATCAAAAAGAAGTATCACGCGATACTGGTAAAAAATTTGCACAAAGTAAAAACTTGGAGTTTTTTGAATGCAACATCAGAACTGGTGAAAATATAGACGAAGTAAGAGGTTCTTACATGATCTTTGCCTTATGACTGCGGCCCTTTATGATAAATGGAAAAATTTCATTACTCTTCACAAGGTTATATGATAGTAGGATATGTAATGTTACGCCACTCTAAGATAATTCATATCAGTATCGTTTCTAATGTTTCTAAAAGAGTAGGCAACAAAAAATCGACGGAAATAATTTGAAAATACTTTACATTTATTTCATGTAAACACCATTAAAAACGCGCATAGGGGAAAAATTTTTTATATGATCTTTTACTTACGTTTTTATTTTTATTTTGCAACCGCAATATCGGTCTCTATGTTTAAGAATTTTATTCTGAGGCCTGCTTCGAGATTGAGTTATATTCTATACTTTGTTTTCTTACCTAATATTACCAAAAATCTCATTCGATTCAATATGTTGTGAAGTTTACATGTTATGGTTATAATTAATATTAAAATTGTTTCGTAAAAACCCACCCTGATTGAAAATCCTATGTATTAATTGTAATTGTTGTTAAATGTTTAACTGGAAGGGGAACTTGGGGTCAAACAATTTTAGAAGCTTTTTTTAAAACAGCTTTTTTAGCAATTTTAATTCCTTTTATATTAGCAAGTTATATTTATTTTATGTGAACACTTTTAAAAACGCGCATTGGGGAAAACATTTCCGTATGATCTTTTACGAATGTTTTTTATTTTTATTTTGTAACCATCTTTCAAGATTAAGTTATGTTCGATACTTTGTTTTCTTACCTAATATTTCCAAAATTCTCATTTGATTCAATATGTTGTGCAGTTTATATGCTGTATAGTTATTTGATTATAATTAATGTTAAAATTGTTTCTTAAAAACGCCCCCTAATTGAAAATCTAATGCATTAATTGTAACTGCAAAGGGAACTGAATATTTAACTGCAAAGGGAACAAAGCGTCAAACAATTTAAAAACTTTTGTTTAAAATAGCTTTTTTAGCAGTTTCAACTTCTTATATATTAGTTTATTTTAGGTTTTTGAACACATGGCTTTGAGAATACTTCAAAAAGAAGGATTAATACCATCTGATAAAATTGAAATCGATGGAAAGTCTCTCGAATGGAAAGAAACCAATGAGGTGCCTGTCACTTCCGTTGCTGAAAAAGAACTACTGAATGGATGTTTTACTGAAACAGAAATTATTAATTATAAGTCAAAAGATACAAGTTATCTAGAAGATAGCGATTTACACAATGGATCTAAAGGGGAAAGCGTTATAATGGATAAAAACAGTAGTCAATCTTCTCTATCAACCAGTAAAATAAAAACTTCAGAGTTAAACAAAAATTGCGATCCTCCTGATAATAAAAATGGTGTTGTACTACCAAAAGCGGAGAAGTCAGTGATTTCAGAAGAAGAGATGCAACAAGAAGGAAAGTGTCTAGAAATTATTAATTATAAGTCAAAAGATACAAGTTATCTAGAAGATAGCAATTTACAAAATGGATCTATAGGGGAAAGCGTGTTAAAGGAAAAAGACAGTAGTCAATCTTCTTCATCAACCAGTAAAATAAAAGCTTCTGAGTTAAACGAAAATTGCGATCCTCCTGTTAATAAAAATGCCGTTGTACTACCAAAAGCGGAGAAGTCAGTGATTTCAGAAGAAGAGATGCAACAAGAAGGAAAGTGTCCAGCGTGGTTTGCTTGATCAGTAACTGTTTAATATTCGAGCTTGTTCAATTTATAAATTTTTTTTATTATTCTGGTTCTGTAGGATCTCGATTATATGTCTTCTTAATCAAGCAGCAAAATGAACGCTTCAAAGCTAACTAAAAATTGAAATGCTTTGGATGATAAAAATGACGTAGTACTACCAAATTCAGAATAATCAAAGCTTTTCTAAGAGAAAAAAATATTAAGCTTAATTTTCTTGAATAAAAAAATGTTTACTATTGCAATTTGTTTTTTTAAAAGCAGTTCTATTGTTCCTTCACCGTTTTTTATTTAACAGTAAAGGTTTTCTTTCATTTTTCAGAACCCTATTTAATCATATTACTACCTATTTAATCATATTAGTGCAGAATAACCACGGAATTAAAGTTTCAGTTTTTTTCTAAATTTATGATTTTATAGTGACCTTACTTAAACTGCAGTAATTTTGTAGAAAGTAGCTAAAAGTTTTTTCTAAATAAATTACTGAGAAATTACTTCACATTAACTGCAAAATAACTGCAGTGTTTTTACAGTTAAGATTGCACAACAGAAAATCTGCAGTTAACTCTAGAAAAACTACAAAATTACTTCAGTTCTGTAGAAAAATTGCAGTTATTTTTTGCTGGGAAGAAAACAAAACTTTCAAGTTATCGGAAGTAGTAGGATTGTGCATAAGAAGTTTAAATGAAATTGGAGTTGAAAAGTGGAAAAATTGCATTGAGCACTCAGAAAATCGAAAAAGAGATGTGGGATTTGGACAAAGCTATCGAAAACACTGTTAATTCTCTAGTAATAAATATCAATTCCATCGACGAGGATTTGACAAGTTTTGAGAGTGAATCCTGAGATTAGTTTCATTTTTACTTTTTAATGATATAATTATTCGTTATTATCCATCGTTAATACAGTAATTCATTAAATTTTGTTCTTGTCTGAGTAGTTTAATATCATTATTTTTGCTTTCGGTACAATTGTTAATTAATTATAGAAACTCAAATGTTACGGAAAATTAAATAATTTTGATACTTCATTCTATTTTCAAAAACCTATTGTATTCGAGGCTTACAAACTGCTTTTTTTAATAGGTTAAGTGGGTATATTTTTCTAAGCAAAAGATTTTATGAGACATATAAAACAAAAAGTTCCAAGTTCTCTTTTAGTGTAATTATTTTCGTAATACTACCCTTAGAAAAATAAAGATAACAGTTTGAAGATACAAATAAATGCTGTTCCTTCAAATATATTTTCAAATCAGTTGGTGAAATATAATTAATTAACATTAAGCATTATTTAATTAAACATTATTTAACTCTTAATAAATTCAAAGAAAAATTTTAATTATGAAAATAAACAGTATTTTTTTAATATATTCCTTCAATTCTATACGACTTTTACGATGGAATCATAAAAGTTATGTTTTGCATAGATATTTATGAAAATATATTAAAACTAATTTAATTTAAACTTAAAAAAAATACAACAAAACTACTCTCAAAATAAAATTATGTGTTTACTGAAACAATTAGAAACGTATTTTCATGTAAATATTTTAATTTTGCACTTTGTTATCTAATTTTAAGATATCAAAGACCGAATATCGTTTTCGTTTTTCTATAAAAGCGAAAGCTCTGTATCAAAGCGAAAGCTCTGGAATTAAACGAAATCGCCCATTCAGCGAAAGAACCGATCATAACATTNCGATCAAACAGCAACCCTTATATTTACTTCCACTATCAGTTCTCGTTGAACAGACTTAGTTTCACTTTATACTAAGTGGGAATCATAATAGCGATTTACGAAACAAAATACTGCACGTACTGAAGAAGAAGATAGATTCCATATTTCTTTGATTGACGAAGCATGTAAGTTTATATATTTTTAATAATATTTCTTCATTTATTTAACCTCATCTTTAAATTGAGTAATAATTTCTTTGAAATAAGGCAATGGTTTCTGTAGATAAAAAATATTCTTATCATTAACATTTTGCAAGCGTGGTTTTGCATTGCTTTATTAATCTTTGTCATAAAAACAGCCTTATCTTATACACAAAAATAACTGCAAACATAAAATTTATTTACAAAGGCGCCGGCAGAATAATATATAAGGGGGTGCACCCCTCTAACAAACTACCCCCCCTACCCCCGAAAAAAATCTATTATATATAATTCTCTTACGTGGCTCCCAAATTTTGGCTGTATTTCTTTTCCGCCGGTGGCAACGTTTGCTTTGCTTTGAAAACACCAAAGCATTCTGCCTTTTTATGATGTGCTTCTGATCTAATATATATAATTCTCTTAC